ACGCTCCTCTCCATACTGCAGACCAGCTGGCCCCTTCACTTTCTCAGCCCTAGTACCCCCCAACCACACACACACACACACAATGCACGAGGCTGTAGGCTCAGGAGGCCACACAACAACCCAAATTTCAAATCCAGCCCTTCATCTTCTATCAACTAATTTCCTCATTGCTGATTCACCCCCACTTCCACTCATCATGTGGACCCATGTGGCCACCAGTGAGCACACCAGGCTGTCTGCTTGTTGACTCCCTTTAACTTTTAATCCTAGAATATGGTTTTCTCCGATGGGCACAGACTTTTCCTGCCTTGATGCATCCAACATCAAAGTACTTGCTTGAAATTTGAAATGCCAGTCATTGTTCTTTATGCAGGTATTTACTGTAAACATAAATTTTTCATTCTCTCAACAGTTCTGGGTAGGACTTAGATTTCCACCTAAGCCCTTTATTCTATACACAGACTGCTGGCTTAAAATAAAACTTGTTCCTTCCTGGCAATTCCTAACGCCCACCCCCACCCCCCATCCTTTAGTATATCCAATCAAGAAAAGGCTGAAGATGGACTGACAAACATTCTGTAATTATGACACCCAAGGGACTTTTGTACCAGCTGACCCCAGCTGCAGCCTTTTTCCCCTGAGCTGCAGTATAATATCTTACACATTCCTTTTAGCCATTACAGTTAACAGTAAGCAAGGTAACCATTTAAGAATCAAAAGTTTCAATTTCCATTTCTCTTTATTGTTTCTCTTACAAAATGCCATGTTTCTATGAGTCTGAAGCCATTGCAATGAATCCCACTTCTGATACCAGGTGTAAAAATTAGCTAAACCATTCTTACCATCACCCTCTCCATTCCACTGAATTCAATAATCTTTTGCAATGGCTACACAGAACTCATCTGTCAGTTTGTCGTACTGTGGTGGCTTGTGACTTGTAGTGATTTCTGAAAGCTATGTTACTGGTATTTTAAATACCAGCAGGGTAACCAATGGTGGACAGGTTTCAGATGAGCTTCCAGACAAAGATAGACTAGGAAAAAGAGTGACGACCTACTTCCGAATATTCAGTCACTGAAAACCTTACGAATAGCACAGAAACATTGTCAGATATAGTGCCAGAAAATGAGCCCCACAGGTTGGAAGACACTCCAAATGTGACTGGGGAAGAGCTGCCTCCTCAAAGTAGAGTTGACCATGATATTGCAAATGGAGTAAAGCCCGTAGGAGAAAAGCCTGTGGGACCTTCATTTGCTGATGGGGCACAACTCAAAATGAAGAGAAACAGCTGTAAACATCCATTGAAAATCAGAACATGGAATGTATGAAGTATGAATCTGGGAAAATTGGAAGTTGTCAAAAATGAAATGGAACATATAAACATCGCTATCTTAGGCATTAGTGAGCTGAAATGGACTGGTATTGGCCATTTTGAATCTGACAACCATGTGGTTTACTATGCTGGAAATGACAAATTGAAGAGGAATGGTGTTGCATTCATCCTCAAAAAGAACATATTCAGATTAGTCATGAGGAACAACACTGTCTGTGATAAGATAATATCCATGCACCTACAGGGAAGTCCAGTTAATACCACTGTTATTCAAATTTACGCACCAATCACTAAAGGCATTGAGGATGATATAG